ATTATGTAAAACCTATGTAGTAATATTATGTAAATAAGGCTGAGGCTCCTCCTTGGGTGGAGATGTTAGTATTATAATGAGGTAGAGGTAATTGCCGGTCATTCCAGAGGTCACTCCATGGTCCATCTGTGCAGGTGTGAGTCGGGGGCTTTAGCGCAAAAGGTCTGGGTGGCCTAGGCCAGTGAGAGGTCTTGTCAGGGCAGTCACCATCACCTGAGCAGTGGCTCTGAGTTTCATTTGCCAGACTTTAAAGGTAAGCCAGAAAGAAGAGCTTAAGAGAAAATGAAAGAGAGTTTAGTGAATACAAGTTGGTGGGCAGTAAATGTCAGGTCTTGCAGTCTAGCTGGTGACATCTACTCTTGGTTTTCCTTTTGTTTTACTCCCTACACCTTTGCTTGCTCGTCCTCTTCCTATCATGTAAATAGTGAGGCTCTCGGGCTCAATGTTGAGTCCTTCTCTATCTACATTTTCTCCGTAGTGACGTCATCTGGTCACATGGCTCTAAATACCCAAGCCCGGAATCTTATATCCTACTGCTTATTCAATAGCTCTGTGCCACATCTAATAGCCGTCTGATTATAAGAATTCTGATTTGGACAATTTTAAGTTTCAGAAGTTAAGTGATTTGCCCAAGGTTAGACAGCTGTAAGTAGTGGGGCTGGGGTTTGAATATTAACAGTGTGGCTGGCTCTGGGGCCTACCCCTTGAACACTATGGGACATACTGCCTCTAAGAGGAAGCTGAAGTATATTAAGTAATATTTTAGTTCAATAAGATTGAATTGTTTTATAATTGGTGTCAGGAAAACTGCATGTCCACCTGAAAACAAATAGAGTTTGGTCCTTTTATTTTTTAAAAATTCTGAGGATTTCTTAAAACAAAAAATAGGGACTCCAGGGTGGCTCAGTCAGTTAGGCATCTGTCTTTGGCTCTGGTTGTGATTCCAGGGTCCTGGAATCGAGTCCTGCACCGGGCTCCTCACTCAGCGGGGAACCTGCTTCTCCCTCTGCCTACCATTCCCCCTGCTTGTACTCTTGCTGTCTCTCACACTCTCTGGAAAAAATAAAATCTTTAAAAAAATTGAGAAATTAGAAGGAAATCTAGATTACAATTGCAACTTAAAAGTAGGATAAGCCATCCTGTAGAGGCAAGAAATAATGAACCCGTAAGAGACAGACCTTTTTAAACTGTATAAAAATTAAACAGTTCTGTATGCTAAAGTTACTATAAAGTCTGTAGATAAACTGTAGATTGGGGAAAATTTTTTTGATTACCTATAATATCAAATACCACATATACATTAACAAGAAAAAAGGCAGCATTTTAGAAAAATGAGCAAAATCTAAAAAACCGACAATTCACAGAAGAGCAAAGTCCAGATCACTACTACTTATAAGGAAAGATGCTTAAGTACCTTTTCTTCAGAGTCCGTAGCTTAAATGTCATTTCTTCAAAGGAGCCTTTCCTGTTCACCCAATCCATAAATTTCCTTCTTTTATTTCCTCTCGTAGCATCCTGTTTTCTTTCATAGCACTTAGTCATAATTTGTATTTATTTGTATTTATATACTCATGTATTTCCTTAATGTCTGCCTCTATGATTAGACTGAAGGAAAGGGGTGTATCTTTTATTTTTTCACCCAATGAAATAAGTCAATCAGAAAAAGAAAATTATTATACGGTTTCACCCATGTGTGAAATATAAGAAACCACACAGAGGATCAGAGGGGAAGGGAGGGAGAATGGAATGGGAAGAAATCAAAGAAGGAGCCAAACTGAGACTCTTAACTCCGGGGAAAAAAACCTGAGGGTTGTGGAAAGTGAGGTAGGTTTGGGATGGGGTAACTCAGTGATGAACATTAAGGAGGGCACGTGATGTGATGAGCACTGGGTGTTATATGAAACTAATGAAGAACTGAACACTATTCAAAAACTAATGATGTACTATATGTTAACTAACTGAAATTGAATTTTAAAAAAAGCTTTTTCCCCCACAGTCCAGTTACTGAAAGATATAACTTTATTTTACATTTTTGCTACATACAGTGCTGAGTCACTGTTATTTTAATTTGCATTTTCCTGACTGTTTTAAGTACTTTTTCCCTTTTTGAGTCAAGAAATATTAATAAATACCTACAGTGTGCCAGTTTTATGCTAGGCAATGGGAATATAGAGATGAATAAAAGAGAAGTATTATTAAGTGAGAAAAGTAAGGTACATTGTATTAAATGATCCTATTTTTTGTAAAACAAATCAGGAACCAAAAACGTTTAAGTGTGTATGTACCTCAGTATGTATGTGTGTTTAAATATTTGGATAAATTGTACATACTAGATTGTTAACATGGTTTGTGGATGAGTGAAGTGAGCAGACGAGAACAAAATAAAAAGATACTAAGTGAAATTATAGGATGTGTATGAAAGTGTAATATACATGTATACATATATATGACACTGATAAGCATTGTACAAGAAAAATAGCAGTTACTAATAAATGTGTAAAAGATGTTCAGACTCTGTAGTAATCAAAGTAATTAATTTATTAAATTAATCATGAGATAATTCTTACCATTCAGATTGAAAATATTCAGCACCAAGTATGTTCATCTAAGCAATGCTTTATAATAGTGAAACACACTGGAACAGCCTAAGTGTCCACTATTGAGAATTGTTTGAAAAATTAGGGGAATCTATTCAGACATAAAAAATGAATGCTTTAAGGGCACCTGGGTGGCCCAGTCAGTTGAGTGTCTGACTTTCAATTTTGGCTTACGTCATGATCTCAGGGTCCTGAAATTGAGCCCAACAGTTGGCTCTGTGCTGGGTGTGGAGCCTGCTTAGGAATCCTTCTCTCCAGATTGTCCCTCTGCCCCTACCCTCACCCCATCATGAGCTCTCTCGTGGGGGGGAGGATTCTTTTCTTGGAGTATCTTGCTTTTACATTCAACTAGTGCAAAAACGGTTACAAAACTGTCAGAATTAAACTACTTTTTGTCTTTGCATACACACAGACATGCAAATAAAATGAATAGAGAAATATCAGAAAAGATATATTTTGTAAGAGACTTTTCTGGTTATTCTGCATTCCTTTATTAAGTAACTTTATTGAGTGCCTTGTAGTATGTGTAAGTGCAAAATACAGAGAGCAAAAGAGAGGTAAAGACTTCATTTGTGGCTTTTTTTCCATTTGGAAAATTCAGTTTTAGAATATACATTCAGCAATAGAGAACAAGTAAAATTAAAGTGAAAAAAGCAAGTAGCTAAAGAGTATACTTAGTATGATTCTACTTGTGTTAGAAGGATATGAATAGGCTCTGTATAGTTTTTTATTCATGGAAATTTTCTGGCATGATTCACAAGAAAGCTATTAATAATGTTTTCTGCTTCAGAACTAGAAAACTAGGAGCAGGGAGGAAATGGATTTTCACTTTTCACTTTATTTTCATTTGTAGAGAATATTTTTAGCATGAGTGTGCTTTATTTGCTTTTTTAATTCTTATCACACTTAACCATTTAGGTACTTTGGAAGTAAAAAAGAGAAAAATACAACAAAGACACAGGATATATTATAAAATTTAAATTAGATTCTTCTTAAACAGTAGTTTTATTTCTAGTATTTTGTATTTGTATTGTTTCTTCTATACCTGCATCATTATTCAATTCAAAACTGACCAAAATGTGAATATTTTTTAAATTGTCAAATGTTGCAATTTAACATGTTTTTATTTTTTAGACAACATTTGAGAGAGGACTAGAACTACATGCAAAAGTCACAGTTTTTGCGGAGGGTTGCCACGGACATCTAGCCAAGCAACTATATAAGAAGTTTGATTTGAGGGCCAATTGTGAACCCCAAACCTATGGAATTGGACTGAAGGAGGTATCCTGATTTGTTTTTGTGATTTTAATTTTTAACTATGGAGTTTAAACTCATTTGTATTATAATGTAGTCTGTAACATTGATGTAATTTTTTTTTTAAGATTTTATTTATTTATTTGAAAGGCAGAGATCAGAAGTAGGCAGAGAGGCAGGCAGAGAGGGCGGGGGAAGCAGGCTCCCTGCCGAGCAGAGAGCCCGATGCGGGGCTCAATCCCAGGACCCTGGGATCATGACCCGAGCTGAAGGCAGAGTTTTTAACCCACTGAGCCACCCAGGCACCCCTACATTGATGTAATTTTATAGTTGCTATGTTTTTCATTGACTTGAAATGTTCATCATAACTGAAAATATTTGGGCTATTTTTAAGGGGCTACAAAATACTGCTGATCAAATTCCATTATTATCTAAATTGGTTCTACGTGTTGTAATTGTTTTATCAATCGTTGCTTAAAATCAAAGACTGGAAATTGAAAATATTTGTGATATGAATTTCTTTTCATTGTAATGCCATCTGTCCCAGTAAGATTTGACATGATACCCCCATGCTGTTTGTAGGGTGACCAGATCATACAAGAATGGTTTCTTCAGAATTGCACTGAGAAGATAATTTAGTTTATGAAATATACACTCAGCCATAGTATATTGATCTGAAACCTAAAATTTAGATTAATTATTACATATTTTTCTCAATTTATCCAATCTCTGTTTTCCCAAACCTTTGGCTTATTAGAGTGTAAAGATGCATTATAACCCCCAAATTTTTGGGGGGGTTAAAGCTCAGAACATTTCCAGTTCTGTAATAGCTAGATTTATTGTGAGTAAAAGCTTGTTTTGGTAGGTTGTGCATCACACATAATATTATCTGATTTTTAGATGTTTCAATTGGGAATTGTTAAAAGTTTGAAACTTAACCATTCCAGGGGTGCCTGGGTGGCTCAGTCGATAAAGCATTTGCCTTAGGCTCAGGTCACGATCCCAGAGTCCTGGGATTGAGTCCCCACATCAGGCTGTCTGTTCAGTGGGGAGCCTGTTTCTCCTTCTGCCTCTGCCTGCTGTTCCGCCTGCTTGTGCTCTCTCTCTCCATCAAATAAATAAAATATTAAAAAAAAAGAAAAAAACCTTACCATTCCGAAAATAGATGAACAATTTTTTTCAGCTGGGAAAAGGGGAGTGCAGGGGAGCATAAGCTGTCTTACTGAAGAATGACATATATACTTGAAAGCAGCAGATCTTAAGGGTACAGCTTAATTAATTTTTACAAGGTGAGCATATCCATGGAACCTCCAGCTAAATCAAGATCTAGAACATTACCAGCACCCCAGAAGTTTTCCTCATCTCTTCATTGGTGTTCCCTATAACCACATGAAAGTCTTAACCATTTTGAAAATCTAATCATTTTCTAGAAGAAATTTCTTAAAGAGTTCATAGCTTTTCTGACCGATTTTTTAGTCCAATTCATGATGCTGCTGTGCGATACATTTTCTTTGATAGGTGAATTACATTTTTTGTGTTTCTCTTATTGCAGTTTTTCCCTTGAAATTTTCATAGCTAAGACATAAAAACCTGGTAAATTTGATATATTGTGGTGGTAGAAAAAATTTAAATAATACTCTAGGTCTTCTTTTTTTAAGTTATGGATTATTGATGAAAAGAAGTGGAAACCAGGGAGAGTGGATCACACTGTTGGCTGGCCCTTGGACAGACATACTTATGGAGGCTCCTTCCTCTACCATTTAAATGAAGGTGAACCCCTGGTAGCCCTTGGTTTTGTGGTAAGTTACACACCCATTATGGAAAACTCTACTGTTGGAGTCCTTGGATCATCAGTGTTATAAAATCTGGAGATTGTAAAATGCTTTTCATTTAAAGGTCACTTTCTCATTTTGTCAGTAGGTAAAGTGCTTGTGGTTATCACAGGCATTGGTCTATAGCTTTAAACACACATAGCTTTTGTGATAGTAGCTACTAAATGCCAGACACTATGCCCTATGCTTCATGGAGAGGTCTAAGTTTTGTAAGATTCCTTTGAAGTATGTATATCCTTATTTTACAGACGGGACACTGAAGTCCAAACAAGTTATACAGCTTCCCCAGTTACACCCATTAAATGACAGAAGCAGGATTCACATCTGAGTTTGTGTGACTTCCAAGCCCAATTTCCACTATGGCATGCTGTCACAAAAAGTGAAATCAGCACTGGGTTTGAATCTATAACTTGTTAAAAAATGTAAGCATTTTCTCCCTTTTTAACCATTTGTATCTTTGCAGTGAATTACGTCTTGAACATTGCAAGGAATAGAAAAATAAGGGTTTCTGCACCATACGTTACAGTTGGGGGCAGCTTTATGATTTAATGTCATAATTAGACTTGTATATGACACATTTTTAAATTTTTGCATTATTGGTGTTTTTTGACACCCAGCCAAGTGTTCAGTTTCTCATCTTTGTATAATTATTCCAGTGACTTAATTTTTTCAAAGCCAAAAAGTTTGGTTATCAATTTCAGCGTTTTGATAATGCCTCATAAAATGTAACTTCTATTTCTTGTCCTCTTTTTTCTAAGTATGATTATATTCTCTTTCTTCACTTTTGCCTCAGTAGTACCACATATAGCTTATTAGTATATATAGTTGATTATATAATATATATAGTATATATTAGTATATATAGTTGTATACTAGAGTGAGTACTGATTAATGAAAAATAATTACAACTCCTTTTGTAGGAACATAATGTTAGACACTTACCTACAAATATTTTTCTAATTTGGGCTTTTATTTACAGAGCACAATGATTTATTAATATGCTCTAAATTTTTAAAGTTTGACCAATTATAAACACATGGTATCCTTTTGTTTACCCTTTCTTTTCCAAACAGATTTTATTCAGTTATTTATTTAAGTTTGGGTTACTGCATCTGTTTCTCCAAGTACTTTGAATACAACAAATTTAATGTACATGTTTTCTCATAAATATTGATCACATTTTAGCTTGATATAATTTGAAATAAAAATATCTAATTGTATAAATTTACCAAATTTAAATATAAAAATTTTAAGGTTGGTCTAGACTACCAGAATCCATATTTGAGTCCATTTAGAGAGTTCCAAAGGTGGAAACACCATCCCAGCATTCAGCCAACATTGGAGGGTGGAAAAAGGATTGCATATGGAGCCAGAGCCCTGAATGAAGGTGGCTTTCAGGTAACTCGTCCAACTTTCTATTTCTTATTTCTGCCTTACAAAGTAAACATTGAAAATATAATGTAATAAATTTAGATAAAGAATAGAAAATTATGTCTCAGGAAGTAACTTTAAGCAAGACGTCTAGTGTTTATAAGACTGTGTCATACCATAGTTAAATTACACTACAAATTTAGTTTTAAGAATATATTGATTTCTTGAGATAAATTTATAGACTTTTTGTTGGTTGGTTGGCTTTTATCCAGAAAATTAAAACTATATGATCCAAAGATATTTTCCTTTATTCCTTAGCTGCCAGGAAACAAAGATTTAGTTTTCCACAAAGGTAATTAATTTATCCCAACAACCAATTAACATCCATGCCTTTTGGGTGGCCTCTGTCAAGTTTTTGCCCTTGATTGTCTATTTTAGTGTATGTTCTTAGTAGATCTTATGAAATGTTAATGTAGCATTATATGTTAATTAATTGAATTTAAATTTTAAAAAAGAATCCAGTATATAATTCAACATACAGAAAAAAGAACAAGAAACTGGTAACTCAAGTCTACAAAGAACTTTATAGTCATTAAAAATATGGTTACATCTACAGATTTTGACATGGAAAAGATGTCAAAGCTATGACATTAAGTAAAAATAAAAAGAAAAGCAGGCTATAAAACAGCATGGTTATAAAAAAATGTTAATGTATTAAGTATATATAGACAATGAGATAAAAACCTACGTAGCCATGATAAAAGCTGTTAGTACTATTGTAAAAATATTAGGTAAGATCTAAAAAATTAGCTCTAAAATTTATACGAAGTGACTTAAAGGAACTTACTTATCTTCCCTGGTCTTTATTTTATAGATGATCCTTTCTGTCTCTAATAACCTAGGAAAATCAAACCATTTTCTAGATTGGATTGGATTTTTTTTTTTTTTTTGGCAATCCTGTTGTAAAAGTAACAGATTATAGAATATTAGGGAGGAGGGAAGTTAACCTTTAAAGTGAAGTTCCAAATACTTTATTATTACTATAACAATAATTTATAAAGTCAGGTAAAATCATAGCTAAAATTATAAATGTAATCATTAGAAACATAAAATAACAGTATCCCTAAATTCTATTGCTATCAGATTACTTCTCAGGAGGTTGTTTTGTTTCTAGAGTAGTAATTCATTTGCAACAAATATTTATTAAATTGCATAACTGTGTTCAAGCCCATTCAGCTCTTTTTCACAGTCTCTATAATACCTGTCAGTCTAATTCTGCTCTTTTTAATGTATAGTGTGCAGTTTCCAGTATATTCAATAGGATATACAGATTTGTATTTAAAAACATCTGCCTTGTGTGTTTCAACGTGTCAGATGATTTTTTAGAATGGTGGGAAGAGTTGACCACACACATATACATATACACACACTCATATTTTACTTAAATTTTCTGCTTCAATTAGATTCAGAAATTTATTTCTAGTAAGTTTTTAAAGAACCATAAGCAAGAATTTGGAACATTTGGTTTTGTTTATTTTTAGCTAACAAATATGACTTTTTTCCCTTTAATTTTTAAAATTATACTTACTTTATAATTGGAAGTTTATACCTCTTAATCCACTTTACATATTTTATAATCCTCCCCCTCCCCTCTGGCAACCATCAATTCTCTATAAATGAGATGGTTGCTATATATGTGACTTTTTCTTTCTTTTTTTCTTTCTTTTTTTCAGTCTGTACCAAAACTTACCTTTTCTGGAGGGTTTCTAGTTATTTGTGGTTTAATGTGGTTTCCAATTATTTGTGCATTTCTCAGTGCAACTTTTCCTAAGTCCATAGTTCCTTAACAAGATACCCAGCTGCCAGTAACACTGCCCCTATAGGATAGGGCAGGATATAGGGTAGGATACTCCCAGGATGTAAAAATAATGCAAAATGCATTTTGCTTGGTCCGTTAAGATTTTTATTCATAGGATTTATGCACCAGTTTGGAAGAACTTGTACTAACAATCCATGCCCTTTTATTAAACTTCACAGTCTTCTGGTTCTTGAGTCAAACCTAGTGTTAGCAAGGCCACAGCCCTATTTTAGGAAAGTGTTGTCATTATCCAAATTCCTATTATTTCTTTTCGGTTAGTAATATTCCAGAAAGCCCTCCCCCCTCTTATCTATTCTGTGATCCTGATTTCACACACTTTTATCTAGGTAGTTCTGATATTGAATTCAGTCTGAGAACCATAATCATAAATTCATTCCCAACATATACCGTGAAAGGACTTGAACTCTGACCCATCTTATACCAGCGTTCTTTCTGTCCTCCAGCATTGCTTCTCACCGCCTCTCCCTCAGGGTTAGAATTATGTCATTAATGGGAGCTATGGCCACAGATCCCTCACTGCTCATGCAGCTGAGGCACTGGTTTCCCTGTTTATCCTCCTTCCCTCTGAGCCCCTTTCAGCACCATCAGCCAAATTCTTACCACCCACCACTTTCTCAGCAAAGACTGTGGCTTACTTTAGGAAGCACGTAAAGAAGAAAAACTACAGAAGGAAGAAAGAAAACTCTGCACTGGCTTTCTCTTCTTTTGCTTTTCAAACTATATATTAGAGTATCTTTTCCCAGGCAAACAATCTAATTTAGTCACTACATTGTAGGGTATATATAAGCTTTTACTGGCTAACCCAAAAAAATACCACCACCTCTTATTACATTGTTTTTCATGAGAAATATATACTGAGGTCCAAACAATGGTCTTAGAAGTTATTTTGGAAATTCAGCTTATTCTTAAGTTAATTAAAATATATTCTTTAAGGAAGTAGCTAATTGTAATGATGCCATGGTGAGAACCTTCTGTAAATCATGTGTTACTGAGAATGCATGTAAAAGCAGATTACAATTTAGATAATAGGTGTTTAGGTTTAGGGAGTATTTTTAGACATGGATATTTGAATAATAACATTTTAATTTTAAATTTGTTTAGGTTTAGGGAGTATTTTTAGACATGGATATTTAAATAATAACATTTTAATGTGTTAATGCCCTGGTCCTAAATCTGTCTCATGTAGGTAAGAAGGGGGGAAGAAGAGAAGAGGAAAAAGTCTTAGAAAAATGTAATAGTTCTAATCCTCATTCTTAGGAAAGGAGGAAGACACTGCCTTTGCTCTGATTTTTTCCTTCACATTTTTCCCTACAACCTTAGAAGACTTTAAGAGACTATAATTTGTAGTAGTATTCCGTTTGTTTGTTTAAGCTAAAAATGCACTTGGAATGTTTCTTTCCTCAGTCTATACCAAAACTCACCTTTCCTGGTGGCTTACTAATTGGTTGTAGTCCCGGTTTCATGAATGTTCCCAAGATCAAAGGTACCCATACAGCAATGAAAAGTGGAATTTTGGCAGCAGAATCTATTTTTAATCAACTAACTAATGAAAGTCTCCAGTCGAAGACAATAGGTAAGAACTTCTTATTTAAAGCATTGAAAATTGTCAGGTTCTTCATTGAAATACTTAAAAAGAAGCTATTTAAACATACACTTAGTATATAGAGGATGAAAATAAATACAATGAAAATCTTGAGGTCTCCTTTATGCATAGTTCAGTTGATATTAAAAGATCTTTCCCTTTTCACAAAGCACTCAGGTGTGTGCTGTGCAAAGAAAACTATAGGACCTAATGTCAGTAATTAGATTTTTATAGCAATGTTCTGTTTTATTCACCATCGAAAGTAGAATAGTGGGGCACCTGGGTGGCTCAGTGGGTTAAAGCCTCTGCCTTCAGCTCGGGTCATGGTCCCAGGGTCCTGGGATCGAGCCTCGCGTCGGGCTCTCTGCTCGGCAGGGAGCCTGCTTCCTCCTCTCTCTCTCTCTGCCTGCCTCTCTGCCTACTTGTGATCTCTATCTGTCAAATAAATAAATAAAATCTTTAAAAAAAAAAAAAAGTAGAATAGTACCAGTGATGTCCCACCTACTTAGAAATGATTTCAAGTTTGGGGCACCTGACAGGCTCAGTTGGTAGGTCATGTGGCTCTTGATCTCGGAGTCATGAGTTTGGGCCCCCATGTTGGGTATAGAGATTGCTTAAATAAATTTTTTTTAAAAATTTTTAAAAAGAAATCATTTCAAGTTTGACAGTACTTTGTTACATTTTGTATGTCTCATATACTCACTAAGATACTCATACGTACTGATGTATCTTCAGTCTGAAAACAGAACAGCTTTGCAGACTACAGAATCCCGCAGTACCTTTTCCTTTGCAGGCTTTGCAAGCACAGGCAAAGACGTGATCCTTCTGCTCTGGTGGAGAGTAAGAGCTAACACCTCTGAATCCATAAACCCTTAATCTATGAAGACCCTTTAGTAATTCTGTTTTTCTCTAAATAAAAGCCTAAGTTTTCTCAGTCCTCTGATTTCATCTCTTTTTACTCTCCATTCCAGCCACACTGGCTTCTTTACTACAAAGACCATTTTCTGGTCTTTACTCACGGATGACTCCCTCATTCCCTTCACCTTTGCTCAAATACCACTCTCTCATGGTGGCCTTATATGGACCATACCAGTTAATCTGCAACGCACACAGAGTACTCCCACCCCTTCCTGTCCCCGTTTTGTTTTGTTTCATTTTTCTAGCGTATTTTCCCCCTGTTGGCATATAATTTACTTATCAACTTTGTCTCCTGCCTCTTGGATAAACTCCCAAGAGAGCAGAGACTTTGTTCACCATGAATCCCAAGTCCCTGGCACACAGTAGCAACTCAGTAGATATTTGATAAATAAACCTAATTACCTAGAATTCCAAATAAATGTTCTTCCAGGTAGAAGTATGAAACTTGATTATGCCTTCAAATTTCTTTGTAGAAATGGAGGCATAGGGTGTGGGAGAGGAGGGCGATAGGTAGAGCGTGGAAAAGGCAGGAGGCCACTTCATGGAGAACAGAATAGGTAAGACGGAATGTACTTGTTGAGTCGTGGAACTTTATTTTCTCATTTTCTTGCAAAGTAGCTTTTCTTGTTGGGATCACAAGCTGTACTTGCACCTCATGTACACAGAATAGCAGCACATAGACAAGTACTAGAGCAAGTAGGTCACCAAAGACCAGAGGATTAAAGCCTTGAGGGAAAGGGAATGGAACAGGAAACTGTTCCAAATGACTGGAAAGTGTATAGCCACCACAGAGTTTAGTTTGTGAGAAGTAAGAACCAGTTTGCCCCATTAAATATTAAATGCATGCACTGTTTCGGTATTGTTATAAATTTCCTAGGGCTGCCACGACAAAGTACCACAAACTGGGCAGCATAAAACAACAGAAATTTATCCTAAAAAAAAAAAAAAAAAAAAAACAACAACAACAGAAATTTATCTTGAGTTCTGTAGACTAACAGTTCAAAATTAAGGTGTTTATAGGACGTTACTCTCTTCTGTCTTTAGTCTTCTTGCCCTCCCAGCTTTCTGATAGCCCCAGACATTCCTTGGCCTGTGGCAGAGTAACTCTGATCTCTTGCTTCCGTCTTCTCCTCTCTCCTCTGTGTATCTCATAAAGACACCAGTTGGTGGATTAAGGAAGGACCCACCGTAATCTAGTATGACCTCATCTAAATTACCACGACAGTGACCATCTTCTGACCCATCTTGAGATAACTGGGGGTTAGGACTTGAAGATAATCTCTTTGCAGGACATAGTTCAACCTGTAACAGGCAGAAGTGTTTCATTTAATCAATTATAAAAACTTCTCACTTTTATGGGTAGAATGAACTCTAAGTAACCTTTTCAGGTTCACTGAATTTTAATACTGAATTTAAGAAATCAAATACCTTACCATTAACATATATCAAATGGCTGTCTTTTTGGAAGATGCCAACATTTGTACATGGAAGATTCTTCAAGCGTGGGGTCTTATACAACCACTTGTTTAAATTTATTTAAGATTCACTCATCAGATATTTCAGTAGTAAAATACCTTGATAATAAAGTATTTTATACTCCTTAAGGTAATTTGATACATTTCATGTTTTTAATAAAAGGACTTCATGTAACTGAGTATGAAGACAATATAAAGAAATCATGGATGTGGAAAGAGCTATATACGGTTAGAAATATAAGACCATCCTGCCATGGAGTACTGGGAGTATATGGTGGGATGATTTACACTGGAGTCTTTTACTGGATATTTAGAGGAATGGAGCCATGGACTCTAAAACATAAAGGTAATTCCAACATATTTGAGTATGAATATTATAATTATTAACTACTCATGCTACTCATGAATGGGGGTGCCTGGCTGACTCATTCGGTACAGCATGCAGCTCTTTATCTCGGGGTCGTGAGTTCTAGCCTCATGTTGAGGGTAGAGTTTACTTAAAAAAATTGTTTTATTTTTTTTTTAAATCTCATGAATAGGATCCACTAATTAATAAAGTGAATTTAATGTTTCAAACTTGTTTTATTAGAGAAATAATAAATTCAGTATCTTTAATCATGTATCATTACTATAAGAGACTAAAGTCCTACTTCTTTGGTATAATATTTTCATGTTTTCATAAAAATGTTTAAGAAAGTACTTTTACATTAGGATCATATTTTTATTCAAAATCTTACTCAAAACTGTTCAAGGTTCAGACTCTGATCAGCTCAAGCCAGCCAAGGACTGCACACCTATCGAGTATCCAAAACCCGATGGACAGATCAGTTTTGACCTTTTGTCATCTGTGGCTCTGAGTGGTACTAATCATGAACATGACCAGCCAGCACATTTAACCTTAAAGGACGACAGTGTTCCTATAAATAGAAATCTGTCAATATATGATGGGCCAGAGCAGCGATTCTGCCCTGCAGGTCAGTATTGTGATTTCCATCCATTCCTAAAAAACATGTATTTGTTTAAACCATGTTGGAAATATGCTTCCATTATTTTAAGAAATTTCTCCTTCCATTGTATGAAAATTATAAATGACCCCCTACATCCAGCTTCCATTAGAAAACTCATTTTTATGGTTTTTACTCTAGCAATGCTAAAATAATAGGGAATTTTTGGTAAGCCTAATTCAGTTGACCTTTCTCAAAGCATTTCTTGGGGTGCCTGGGTAGCTCAGTCAGGTAAGTGGCTGATTCTTGATCTCAGTTCAGGTCTTGATCTCTCGGTCGTAAGTTTAAAAAAAAAAAAAAAGCCTTTCCCTATCCTACTTCAGACTAAGGATTATGGAACACCAAATACCTCTTTCCATGTTTACATGACTTAAATCATTTCTCCTATCTGCTCTTACACAAATACTAAAATATTAGGGTATAGCCACATTCAGCTCAAAAAATGGTCCCAGACATTAAATTCATCATGAATACTGTATCCTTTAAGGTAAACTTTCAACTAGAATTATAACAGGAACTAGATCTCAAATGATATGGTAGAATAGTATGCAGATATATGAAAATCCGTATATTCTGCAGGGACTAGATTTAGAATGTAAACTCTGAGGGCAGGGACCTTGACTTTTGACATCTTAAAATCATCTGAACTTACACTGGTTTGTAAAGTCTTTGAGGGGTAAGGATTGGATCTAATTTGTCTTTTCAGTTGTAACACACACATAAAATTGGAACTCAAAAATTGCTAAATGTTGTTCCCTTGTTTAATAGGACTAACTCAGCCAAATACTGATGTACCTTCTGCTTTTATCCATATTTAATTTACACTAATAGCAATAGCACACACCAAGATCTTCATAATATTCTTTGTGGGTAGACATTCAGAAAACAAACCTTCAAGGTTTCTGTAGCTACTGTTTCCAGGACTTCAGTTTCTACTTTTGAATTTTAAAAGTTAAAATAGTTAGGTACTTCACAATATTACTTATTTTTCCTTGCAGGAGTTTATGAATTTGTACCTTTGGAACAAGGTGATGGATTTCGGTTACAGATAAATGCTCAGAACTGCGTGCACTGTAAAACATGTGATATTAAAGACCCAAGTCAAAATATTAACTGGGTGGTACCCGAAGGTGGTGGAGGACCTGCTTACAATGGAATGTAAACTGCAACTGATTGCATTTGCAGGCACGTTTGATAGTTTCTTTAAAATGTATGACAAGCTAACTTTAAAGTTTAGAAGTCAACAGCTGTCAAAATATTTTACTGTGTATTACTGATCAGAATGTTCATAAAATTACCAATGAAATAAAAATTTTATACTTATACCTAAAATTGTCCCATAAAAAATTATGAATATTCCTCCTACATAAAACTTTACAAATGAGATAGCTTTACCTCTACAATTACTCTTAAAGATTCAGTACCAATAGCAAATACACTACTACCCTTTAATGTAGATTTGACTTATCAAATATAAATATAGAGTCTAGACCATTGGTTAGCATCCAGCCCACTACTTTTCTCATGAATAGCTTTACTGGAACACAGTGATGCCCAATGGTTTACATGGTCTGTGGCTACAACTGCAGAAATGAGTAGTTGTGACAGATGGTAATGGTTCGCAAAGCCTAAAATATCTGGCCTTCTGGAGAAAGTTTACCGACCCCTAAGTATCTACTGTACATAGGTACAAAACACCAGCAAAACCAACTACATAGAAATACACCAAAAGAATTGAGGGAAACAGTATATAAACAAGCTTTAATCTGTTTACTCAGCAAGATGTGTTTTTAGGAGTTTAGAGCTGGACACCATTACTCTTTGTGATTAATGCAGACAGCCATTTTTAAAAAAAAAATCAAACCTCATTGTATTTTGTAACACAGTTTTATTAAGAGTGAGCTTTTTTTCAGTATTCCTAAACTGTAAACAATAGAAAACTGAAGTATCAAAGGAAACACATCAGGGACCATATATAACAGACAAAAACCTTTAAATTTTCTTACTGCCTTTATACAATAATCAATGCATATTTAAGTAATACAATTTCTTACTAGGCAAACATTTTTGCATATGCTGCCTTCTCTTTATCTTTCTGTGCCTTTATCTTTTGTTTGACTTTCAGCAACTCTGCCTGGATAGCTGTAAAATAAATACATAATAGATGTTATTTCTCAAAACATCCAAAACATTAGGATGCTCAACAACTAATGTCTTAAATATCATAATTCTCCCCACTGATGCAACTCTTCTCTGTACAGTAACTGTGCTCAATTAACAGAATATTTTACTGACAAAACAATCACATAAACAAAAACCATGAAACAATTTTAGAAGATTGTCAATTTGAGAGAAGTCTAAGTTATACGTAGATTTGCCTTCTCTCTCCCCATGAGAGAAGGCAATTAAGTGCCTCGCTTCTTTCACTTCAGCAGTGAGAGACTGCAGATATATTTTAATATCTAGAGCTCGTATCACTATTTGTAGCAGGTGTATTTGAAAAACAAACTAATCTGTGTCCTAACTTTGCAACGCTTTCCTAAAATATACATCCAATAACTAGAAAACTTGTACTATGGCTTCATTCAGCTTACGGAATGGTCCCAGACATTAAATTCATGATAAATACTGTAGCTTTTAGCGCTGTACTTTCAGGTGGCATTACAGTAATAGGAACTGGCAGAAAAGTATTCGGGTATGTGAAAATCAGTATTCTGAAGAAAAACTAGAATGTAAGCTCTTTTGAGGGCAGGGAACCAGATTTGTTCACTGCAGTATGATCAGTGCCAGTAAGAGTCATTATGTAGTATCTGTTGAACAAATATCTCTAAGTGGCATAGAATACAGTGGTTCATAAAGATAAATTCTTAAGACAAAAATGAACTTTTACCATAAACACTGCCAACTTACCTTTATCTTCTGGTGCTATCTCCTGAGCTTTCTTAAGATCAGCCTTTAATTGAAAAAAACATTTAAAGAAATATTAGATATATGATTTATGAAGGTGGTCGTCTAAAAATATTAAAATGTAGAACAAAATTTTACCAGTGCTTGATCGTAGTCTTTTAATCCTTGCCATCCTTGAGCTCTACGGTACAATGCTTTGGTATTGGATGGGTCTATTTCAAGAGCCTACAAAAAATTGTAAAATTAGTATCTTTACCTAAATATCATTAAATATATGTACTAAATTTCAATTTATTGCCGGTCAACTCCAAATCAACCCTTCACTGTTCTGTGATAATGGAGCTAGATGGACCCTGTAAATTTCTCTCTGCCAGCAGGCACGTTACATTTTGTCGGTAGAGGGCGCTAAAGGGACACAGACAAGAAAAGCTATTTCTCTTCCACGTTGCAGTGCACTTCTCAAAGGCTCCAGCCCTTGAGCTTGGTCAACAGCACACAGCAGCTCACAACAAGCAACTTACCCAAGCACTACAACGGAGTCCCATAAGCATGGGAGCCAATGAACTTCTCTGCCACCTAGTAAATCACAGCCACTGCCTCCTCAGTGATTTCTGGTTCTCAGCCTAGGGGCTGTCGAGAGGAGCCTCTTCTTGTGGGTTCCACCTAGCCTAGGGGAAGTGACTGCTCCATATATAGATGTATCTGCTTTCCCATATTCTTTAGAATTTTCTTCATTAGCCATTCCCTTCATTATTCTAATCCCCTCTTATTTTATATTAAAGTTTCTCTTTTCAAATAATTCTATAGTTTCTATCTCCTGATTAGGCCCTAAATGCTATGAGAATACTATTTTTTTTAAAGATTTATTTATTTATTTGACAGATATCACAAGTTGGCAGAGGCAGGCAGAGAGAGAGGAAGAGAAGCAGGCTCCCCGCTGAGCAGAGAGCCCGATGCGGGCCTCGATCCCAGGACCCTGGGATCATGACCTATGCTGAAGGCAGAGGCTTTTACCCACTGAGCCACCCAGGCGCCCCTAAGAGAATACTATTAAGAATAAAAAATTTGTTACACTCTTTTACTTGAAACCTACAGGGTTTTTTTTAGGAGTGTGAGCAAAGTTGAAGAGGTCTCTCCTTTGAAATAAACATTTTAGAAATATTTTACTTCACATCTTCTAAAGGACAATACTAAGATTTTACTGAAAAAGGTGTATTATCTGGTTCACAAAGGTCAAAAAGAAATCCAGAGTTGGGCCACATGGCTGATTCGGTCAGGAGACCATGCTATTCTTGATCTCAGGGTCATCAGTTCGAGCCCCATGCTGGGTGTGGAGCCTACTTAAAAAAAATGAAAGAAATCCAGAGTGAAGATCCATCTTTTCCTTGGATAAGTTTTTTCCTCTGTTATATGCTCTCTTCTAAATGTATTTTTATCCCTTATTCTACCTATCCAACCAAATTAGGATCTTTTTTTTTTAATTTTAAGTAATCTTGACACCCAACAAGGGGCTAGAACTTACAACCTCAAGATAGAAGAGTCGCATGGTCTACCAACTGAACCAGCTAAATGCCCCAGATCTTATTTCTACTTGCTCTGGGCATAGCTTAATGAGCAATATACATAAAAATTACTGGAGATGATCTTTCTAAATACATAGTTTAGTTTGGAAAATTTTTCAGCTGTGCAATAGAGAGAGTGTCATAATTGTTCTATTTAAGGAGGTAATGCTGCCACCTATGTAGTTTCATCAGTTAGTATTCCTAGATGTCCCCATAAAGACAGATGACCTCGGTGAGTTCCAGCAGTATCCATTCTCCTATACAAGTCCTGATGACCCTAAATTAAAACATACTCCCTCATCAGCCAAATAAAAAGTTCCTTACAAGTATGAGTCTTTTAATTAAAGCACCTAATCTCTATTAGGTGCTTAACATGTACCCAACACCTGTGCTAAATGGTTTACATATGTTATATAATCTTTGTAACAATCCTGTGAGGCAAGGGTTATTTTCATTTAAAATAAAGATGTTAAGACTCTAAAATTAGGACTTAACCAAGATCACAAAGTTAGTGACAGAAGTCAAACAAAAACACCAAGTCTGACTGGCTCTGCAACCATATTCCAATGTCTTACACGCAACAGGTGCTCAGTATGTTCAATGAACAAAGGAGCTGATACATGTGCTCTGAGGAAAAGTATCTTCATAGATTATTAAGTTACATAATGTTATCAGCTAAATAAATGAATTAACAGGAAGAACTGAAGGTCCAAAATAATTAGAGATAATAGTATTTTTAAATTATGCTACATCAAGTCTCATTTGGTCCTCTGTAATAAAATATATTAATATACATAAAATTGCTTTTGTTCAAGTTGATGTATCGTAATTCCACTCCTTCAGAAAGTCTGACGTCAAAAGAGACTTACCTCCAAACAACTGTCGATTGCTCCCTGCCAATTTGACATCTTCAGTTTACAAGCACCAATATTCAGCACGCAGCTTAAAGCTATAGGTTGTAGCTTCGATCTATCTCCCTGCTCAATAACAGCCTTTGAACCTTCCACATACCTGGAGAATACATTAATAAAAGTAGTATATAATGCCACATACAACATACTCTGCTCCTTCAACTATGTCAAAAAGTGTTGTCATTTCTGATATAAAAAACTCATCAAATGCTAATATTAATATTCTTAATAATCACAATCTTATTTTTCTTAAGATAAATATTTCAGTTTTTTCACAAAGTGTTCAAAGAAACCAATTTAACAGCATTCTCCAAATCTAAAGATAATTATGCACTACTAACACTTTCCAATTTTTAAAGCTCAGGTCTCCATAATGTACTTTCCAACCTAAGTATGTTTGGGCCAAGGCTCTCACCTTAGGAGAGGGAATTGAATGAGGCAACCGGCTCTACCCACAGAAAAGGGCCCAGAAACGATGGGCACACCTGGCCCTCAGAATCTGGTTTCTAAAATCCATCCCCCTATAAACAAAACAGGGGCTCCTTGGAGAAACTGCTAATACCAGATCTGGAAACAAAGTTAAGTAAAAGATGAAACTGAAACACCTTGTGCCAGAAAGCAAGCAAGTGCTCACAGACTAAAAGGAACATGTCCAAAGGATATAGGAAAGGAGGCTTCCACTGGACAAATTTGGAACCCTTTGAACATCAAAGAGAATGATATAACAGGGTGAACTAAAAAAAATCCGCAGGTATATAATAATACTAAAAAGGAATAAGGAGGGCGCTTGGGAGGCTCAGTGGGTTGAAGCCTCTGCCTTCTGCTCAGGTCATGATCTCAGGGTCCTGGGATCGAGCCCGGCATCGGGTTCTCTGCTCATCAGGGAGCCTGCTTCCCCCCCCACTCTCTGCCTGCCTCTCTGCCTACTTGTGATCTCTGTCAAATAAATAAATAAATAAATAAAAATAAAAAGGAATAAGGGGAGGGAGGAGGCGCTTTTAAACATTAGAATGCAAGATAAGAACTGTAGAATGAATGATAAATTAGAAAATCAGTTCTGCGACCAGTATAATAATTGATTTAGGAAAGGATCTTCAATGATGCTAAAATCCACTGAATGAAAGGTTAGGAACTGGATATTCACACAGTCTCACAGGATCATCTCACAAAGTACTTATTATTTACAAAAGGGAAAAGGTAACTTTATGACACAAGTGTCTGGCTGACACCTCTTTAACCAAGTGCCAAAACTCAAAATATGCCAAACTGACGTGTGCCTTCAGGATGTGGTATCACAGGAAATATTCACCACAGATTTAAGTCCTCTTGCCAAAATATTTAACAAACTAATCTTGAGGAAGTAATCAAATAAACAAACACAGATGGTATTCAATAAGACAACTGACTTAAGACTCCACAGATACCTATGAATAAAAAAACCTGATGTAGAGACTACTAAAGATAACAGACTAGAGACATAAAACCAAATGATATAATGGACGCTGGACAAAAAAAAAAAAAAAATTGAAATAATTGGGGAAATCTGAATATGGATTACATATTAGATGATATATTATTGTATCAATGTTATTTTCAGGGTGTTTCAATTATATCAAGGCTATGTAGAAGCACTGTTTCTTAGGAATTACCTGCTCAACTACTTGGGGATAAAGTAACTTTTCAAAATGATTCTACAAAAACAAATATAGCAAGAGTTAAAAATTAGTGAAAAGAGGTAAAGATATGGATGTATTCATATACGATTCTTTCAACTTTCCTGTATCTTCAAATTTTTCAAAATAAGAAGCTGGAGGAAACAAAAGAAATGAAACTATTTCAACACACCTGGTTATTATTTTGCAAAGCAATTTTGCCAAAAAGACAATAAACAACTCTGAATTTCAGTTTATAATTAAATTTACAAGTTCTTAGAATTAATTTATTTAAAATATTTTATTACCTTAAAACTTTTGTATATTTTTTAATGGCCATTTCCCAGTTCTGAGATTTGAAAAAAGTATTTCCAATATTTTTTACATCTTCAGCTATTAGTAAAATTTTATTTACCTGTATAAAAAAATACAAGTATGTTGCATTTTAGTAACTAATATGGTTTAATGCTAGATTCTATCATTTAGATTGATATGAGTAGTTCAAAATTTTAGTACTAATATTAATAATTAAAATAAGACTAATCTGAAAGTACTCACATCTTTTAAATCTATATCTGCATCCTCAGGGAAGTCTGGATGACTGTCACCAGAGCCATCTTTTGGGTATATCCCACAATCATCCCCTTCCTTCAATTCTCCGCATTCTGCAATAATGCACAACTGTAAAAATAATCCTAAATTGTAGAGGTGTACTACCATATTAATGATATTAAAAACAAGCAATCTGGGCTTAAAAATCTATACAGCTGTAAGTCATGCACAACACTGTCCAAATCACTTCTCAAATGAGACTGACAGAAGTCTCATCTATCTGCTCAAATTACAAAAATGCCCTTTATATTGCCCTTTATGTACATTCCAAGTAATACTGACACTATTTTAGGAAAGGGTTTTATAGCTATTCAGCAGTTCAGTTTTCAAAGTTGAAAATATTATCATTCTCTATGTAATTTTCTTTAGGTGAGGCATGTCCTTTCAATTCCACTATTCCTTTCACACATTGGTGACAGCCTACCTCCTGCAGGTATTTCAATTTCCAATTCCCACTCACAGCCCTGCTAATTAGGTTAGGTAGTATCGTGGCCACTGTGATTTCACATTTAGAACACAAGGTTCTTTAGAGTTACATAATCTCGTCTAAACCCTAAGTAATTTAAACAAGATGAGGAAACATGCCCAGAAAATTTAAATAACAAGATCAAGGCCAAACCATCAATTAAACAGCAGAGTCTGAAAAGGACTCTTGGTTTCCTGTCCTCTACCTACTACGTATTTGTACATACTGATTCAAAGTTTTGCAGGTATAGAAGAGTTAAGAAACCTACAAAAAAAAATCACCAAAATTGACGTGGGAATAATAAAAATGTCCTTTTAAACTACCCTAATCTTATCTTTCTCACTGTAGAAAAGTTCCAAGATAAAGTTGCAGGTCCAGGCTTCTGTGCCAAAAGTCATCCTAACATCTTCCCAGCTAATCATCATCTGATCCCTCTACTTACATCTCTTTAAGACAGTAATTAAGGTAATAAGTGTATTTCACTGAAACTTTTTACTTACTTTGGCAGGTTTTTCACCTTTCACTTCTACATTTTCCAGTATCCTTGCCACACCCATTCCTTTAATTACTTGGCCAAATACCACATGTTTCCCATCCAAGTGAGGAGTTGGGACTGTTGTGATAAAGAACTGAGAACCATTTGTATTGCAGCCTGCATTTGCCATGCTCAATAAACCTTCCTGATCATGCTGTAGAAATACAAATCAGTGCAAGAAAACCAAGGTTAGAGGTCCTGGTCTAAACTGTTCTGTTACTGACCATTCACATAAAACTATGACAAGCTATAATACCATTTAGAGCAAACAATGTAGTGTCTTTTTTTTTTTTTTTAATTCATTTGACAGATAGAGATCACAAGTAGGTAGAGAGACAGGCAGAGAGAGAGGAGGAAGCAGGCTCCCCGCTGAGCAGAGAGCCCGAGAGCCCGATGCGGGGCTCGATCCCAGGACCCTGGGATCATGACCTGAGCCGAAGGCAGAGGCTTTAACCCACTGAGCCACCCAGGCGCCCCGTAGTGTCTTTTTTTTAATATAAACTGCAACCTTTAATTCACAAACACGGGGTACTTAATCATTTTTTAGACTTAAAAAAACCATGAAACCAAATAAAGGAACAGAAACAATTTAGATTTCTAAATTGGCCATTTTGAGAACATACTTATATCTCAACTTTAAAATGCTGCATTAAGGAATTGTAATGATTATACTTTGCCCTTTATGATGAATGTTCTCTTTTCTGAAAGGAACTCAATAGTCTTCCCATTTTTATGGGCCTACGTTATGATTCTTCCTTTACACATAATAAACTGGGAGCACTAATGGGGGACAGCCAATTTAGGCAGGACATTCATTAGGTACTTTCCTAATCTCAAAGGAATCCAAACATTATGGCTTTCATCCCAGGTGAATCTTCAGAGAACCATTCTTCATAGAATGACCTAAAGAAACTGCTACATACATCTTGATATCAAATTTCTACTTGGCATCAATCTGTTCATAGGTGCTGTGAAACTACATCTCTTCGTCTTTCCACTTTTATCCTTAGGCTTTCTAAATTATTCTTTGTTGGGTCATGCATTGTACTCTCATGTTAATCTTCCCACTGAAAATGCCTTATACCCTTGCAACCTAAAAAATTCAGTTTTCAGAGCTACCAAGTTTGCAGAAGGCAAAAACTATGTGTCTTTTCAATAGAACCCCCTTTCTTTTGATCAAAGCTAATCACATAATCTTAGTTTTCCCCCTTCAGAGGCAGCTTCCGTTTTTCCTTTCCAAAAGTTGGGTGCTTTCCCCACAGTATCAAAGAGAATATTAACTTCATTTCCTCAGCCTCCTATTGCCTTTGTCTTTATTACCTATGACCCTCATTCAAACTGGAATCTATGTTTTAGTTCCTGTCTAACCAAGTCTTGGCCACCCTGCAAGGCCCAATTTCAGTACTCATTCCTCTTCAGTATGTTCCCTGATAATCTGGAATATATAAATCATATCTTTCTCTTATGGTATATACAGAGAGTCTCAATTTAGCATTTATTTACACATTATCATTCTCCAGTTATCCCATGTGTTTTAATCTTGCCTTCCCTGTAATATAAATTCCTTGTTATCAAGCTGCTCATTTCTGTAAGCTCCTTAGTGCCAGTGACAGTACTAAATACATAATAGCTGCAGTCAATAAATGCTGTTGAAAAGACTGAAACATTTTCATTTCAAATTATCCCAATTACCTTGCACATATTCCTCATTTCCAAAGATATTACTTCACTTTTGAACTTACCTGTCCATTTTTATAACTTGAATGATGCAATATGCCCAATTACATCTTGAGACAATAAAGATAAGAAGGCACAGGCTCCATTCATGTCCTTTAGGAGCTTAGACATTAACCATATCCGCTATTTTGCAAATCCCCTGACATCCAGGATATTAGCGATGGTTTTGTTGCTCTTCAAATTCAAGCATAAAAATGCACAAGTTACCATCCTTCTGATTATGAGAACATTTTTCCTGGAAACAATTTTGCCATATGGTGGCCACTCATAAAAACTCATTGGCTTTAATGCAGTATGTAAACCTGGATCACACTGACATGACCGCCGTATTTTTGCCAAATAAAATTAGTGGATGAAATTTTTGTATGTTAAAGAGCAAATTCACAAATACAATACCTTTTACAAGAAAAGAAGAATCTATGCACACCTGAGACATTTATTGGTATCTTAATCCAACCAGTATCCCAGACATATAACAACCTTTGTTATGAGCAATAAACATTCACTTTTGTCTACTTTACCTTATAATAGAAATTTTCATCTTCAAATTTTTCACCATAAATACTTTCTCCACCTGTCCCATTTTGATTTGAGAAATCTCCACCCTGAATCATAAATTTCTTAATAACTACAAAAAAGGAAAATAACTATTAGCAACTAAAATATAGATGACTATAACAATGTTAACTAATGAACATGTGGTAAGAAAAAAACTTCCTAAAACATGACTCTAGTCCTATAACTCTCCTCTCTTTCCCCACCCACCCCCACAACTCCAAACTCTTAAAAGGCTTTTCATAGCCTGGATCCAAATTACTTTTACTGACTAATCACTCACTAATACTCCAAGAATTAGTTCAAATGGTACCTCCGCTATATAACTGTCACTGAGACTCTGAAGTTGGATCTCGTAATTTTTCTCCCACAGTATCCTGACTCTGCCTCCACTTTGTAACATATATCATAATGATCTGTCTCTTCCAGGCAACATTGATTCCTCAAGTACAGCAACTGTTTTCCATTGTGCATATGGCTAGACATGTATGACTCATTGATGTCTATTAAATAAGACCAATTTTTCCCAGTAGATTGTTATACCAAAATGGGAGTACTTCAGCAAGTATTATCACTTGGTGTCAATATGCCCAACCCTAATGTTCAGAAATTTCCTAGGATTCATGAGACTCAGCATTTGGTTGTATTACAGCAATAAAGTAAGGATACACAGCTAGTTGATAAAAGGAAAAGATACAAGAGTCTGGAGAAATCCATGTGCTTCCTTATACTCTCTCCCTCCCGTGAAAGGTCAGAGAGTACATTCTTTCCCCAGCACAAAAAATGCTACAACATATGCACAATGTTGTTGCCCAGGTAAACCCAAGGTTTTTCAGGGTGGATCATCCAGTTACTCTCCACCTAGAATGTACCAAAATTCCAGACTCCCAAAAGGAAAGCAGGTGTTCAACATAAATCAAAGTGTTTGTACAAATAATCCAGACACAGTAAACCATCTTTATGATTCAGGGAATGGTTCCAGTGCCAAGTTCCTAACTCCAGCTAATGGCCATGCTGCAAGCAAACCTTTGCAAGGACAGCAGTCTCAGGCCTGCTGTGTCAACTCTTCTAAATACTATACTAGTATATTTTAGTACTTCATTAAACATGAATATAAATCAACAGTTTAAACATTTTAAAATCAATATTAGTTTTTTCTTAAGTTTAATAAATGATCTACTCATGATTATACTTTAACTTATTCATTCATTAAACAAATATTTATTGAGTACCAACTCAGTAACTATACTACATGCTGAAGACAAGATGATGAAAAGATACAGTTCCTGAATTCAGAACCTACAGTCTATTAAGGGAAGCATCAAATAATCACTAAACAAAGGTATGATTACAAGGTGTGATAAGCATTATGAAACGTCATCTTTTAATTAAGTATCACACCAAGACACTGAATCTTTTATCAGCTACAAACATTCCCAAGCAATCCTGCAAAAGTGGTAGTTATAACTTTTTTGCCAGCAGGCAGTCAAACTATCTAAAGTCTGCTTTTTTATCATGGCAAACCCTTTTTTCCTCAATCTAAACCCAATGGAATGAAGAGCTAGAGCACTGGTAAAGCTAGGTAGTCCATTTCTCTTTAAGTAAGCCTTAGTACCCTCTCATAATTGCACTGTTCACAGTCCAACCTTTATGAAATTGAGCTGTTGTCTCAGATGTCAGAGCATTCTCCTGAAACTAACAGTCATTTTTAAGTTTCACTCTTTACTTCTCTTTACTTAGTATTTTCTTCCCTAATTGCTACAGATTTATAAGAATCAGATTAAAAAATTTACACATACTTCGATGGAAAGGGCATCCTTTGAAATGGAGAGATTTCCCAGTGGTGGGTCCAATGCCTTTTTCTCCTGTACACAACGCACGAAAATTTTCTGCAGTTTTGGGTACAATATCTGCAAACAATTCTAAGACAATTCGACCAACTAAAAGAAAAAATGAAAACATATCAGTATGTAAAACAAGCAACCAAATAAGCAAATGACAAAAGGACAATTGGTAAAAGTACAGTGACTGAGATACCAAGTTCTCTTGTTTGGTCATTTTTCTAATATTCAAAATCAGTCTCACGTTAAGTGTCATGTAACTAGATGAATTTAAAACAATTATTTTTCTACATCTTAACAAAAGATCATAAATGCAAAGCCAGGAGATTAGCACCATATAAGGGACACCATGAAATGCAAATGGTTTTTAATTCTGAGAATTTCTTCTCCTTGTACTCAGAAATTCCAACCACCAAGTAACCAATAGGAGAAAATCAAATATCCTTTGAGTGCTCGGTTTGGCTGAGTTTTGAGTATAGCTGTAGCTTTTGTGTTCTTTGCAACCTCCCTAACCTAGAGGCTGAAGCAAAAGACGAAAAAGTTCCCATTTTGGACAACTCCTAAGGCAGGTTAAAAATAAACTTCGCACTAATTTCAAAACAAAATAAATGTGTATATAAATGCATGTGTGTGTCCATAATCAGCCACGGGGTCTCTGAACCCTGCTGTGTCTGTTTGCATGCGTTCACACAGCCCAGCTAACAATTCTAACCTGTTCTAGAACGAGTATTTCAGTCACAAAGCAATATGCTAATTCACAAGACCTCTGGAGCTCCCGAAGTGCTGACATAGCCTAGGCAACCACATCGCTACCCAGAGCTCATTTTCCCCAATGCCAAAACACAGAAAACGCTAATCTGACGGGACCTCTAAGTTAAAAATTGGTGATAAGAAAAATCAACGCGCAAAAGTCGCTTTAATTTACGAACACTCTGGCAACTGCTGACGTATCTCGCGTGGCATAGAGCACGGCGTGACTAGAACCTAACAAACGCGTATCAGTTTTCTTAATGTCCCACTGCAAACATAAAATAATCTTATTTTATGCCTGCCTGATCGTGCAAGGTGGCGAGGAGGTACAACCCAATCAGGAGAGACAAACATAAAGGCCGCCACAATCCCGAAACCAGAAATTTCCAGAAACTTCCGTAGGACCGATGGCATTGGTACAAGGGCGCTGGCTCGACCCAGCCTCGGAAGCCTGGATTTGTTCCAGTAGTCGTCTGTGCAGCGATCCCCTCTGCACCACAGAGCAGCCCCTTGCCCGAACCGCACACGACCGTCGGAATCCCCGAATCCCGGGAAGCTTCCTCGGGGCCATTCCGCAAGTATCAGTTTCCGCTCACCTCGCTCCCCTCCGATGTCCACGTCAAAGAAGACTCTGGGGTTACAGGGGTTGGAAGGCTTAGTTTTCGGGGACGGGTGCGACATTTCGAATTGCAGATGCGCTTGGAAGCAAAGTCAGAGAACCTCGTGGACCACCGGCAGCTCAACCCGAAAGCGCCTTTCTAAATGAGGATCTGTCGGCGGCGCTGAAGAGCCACTTCCGGCGTGAGGTCCGACTTCCGGCCCCGCCTCCAGACGGTATCTCTTCGTGCTCGAACCCCGGAGCGTTCTCCGCAGGTTTCTATCCCGCGCTTCCTCTGTTGCCGCGTGCTGAAGTTGCAGCCCCAGGCCTTTTTAGTCTTTTTGCATGTGCTTCATCATTTTGCTGTGATAGTGTAGAAGGGCTTTGGAGACGGTCTTCTCCATTCCAGCTTCAGGTCTGCCACTAACGGGTGTGTGATTGCTTCTCTGACACACAATTTGTCTGGGAAAATAGGAATAAAGATGCTTACCTTGGTGGGTGGTTTTGGGAATTAAAGATGCAAATTGCTAGCACAATGCCTAACACACCCGGGTGTTAGCTAATACATAGTGACCGTGTTATTGCTGCCATTTTGTTACAAGTTGCAAAAAAAAAAAAAAAAAAAGAGTATAAGTAATAGAGGTTAGGCAAAGGCCCTAAGCCAAACATCCAGAAGGGAGAGTTTTGTTTCCTGATAAAACCGTATTATAGTCCACTTTTCCCTTCTGGGAATTTGTGTAAACATCTTCCCTATTTATGTGAACATAGACTCACCTCTGGATAAAGCCTAATTTTGGAAAGAAGTGGTATGTTCTTTAGCACTTGGTAATATTCTAATTGTTTAGTCATTCATTTCGTCCATCTCCTCCCATTAGGATTAAACTCCACGAGGACAAGAATTTGGTTTTCTTCATTGCTTTATTCAGTGCACTAATAACAGTGACCAGCACATAGTGGGTGCTCAATAAATGAGGGTTTGTTTGGGGTTTTTTAGATTTATTTATTTATTTCAGAGAAAGAGTATGGGGTGGAGGAGCAGGGATGGATGAGGGAGGCAGAGTCTTGAGCAGACCCCTTGCTGAGCTGGGGGAGACGGTTTGCTGGATCTCAGGACCCTGAGATCATGACCTGAGACAAAACCGAGTCCAACATAACCAACTGCACCACCCAGGCGCCCCATAGGTGCTCAATAAATGTTTTTGAATGAGTGAGGAGTTACACAGAATGTTAATGGCTTTGAGAATTTTTATAAGAATGTTAATAAGAAATTTCATTTCCATGTGTGTTTATGTATAATTTGAGAAGATCATCAGCACTTCATGCTGATCCTTTCAAATTCCAGCACATTAAAATTAATGTAAAATGTTAATTCCTTATGAGTTGATGTCCTTGAATTCCATAATGTTTATTCATTATGGTTCCCTGAGGATCTAGGTCAGCCCAGCATATCACCTCTGTGTCCTTTGATGAATAGGAGTTAAAATAAATTGCTCACTAATCCAGTCTCATTTCTGGGCTGCAAACTGGTAATTTACACTTTGTCTCACAAATATCAAATGATAAATTCACATTAAAAGTTTTTTTCTGCTCTACTAGCTCAAAATTAGCCTCTAGCATATTAAGTCCAAGAATTGTCACTTTTACACCATAACCTCCTAACCATTATTATTATTAGGAATATCATTGTTATTAACTAGGTAACATGGTTAAGCACTTCTGTGCCATCACGCTTCCAGGGCTCAAATTCAATCACTAATAAATACTAACTTGTGACTTTGGACAAGTTACTTAGCCTTTCTGTGCCTCAGTTTCCTCATCTGTAAACTAGGATAATGATATGTATCTCTTAAAATTTTTTTGTCTAATTTTTTTTTTTTTAAGTAAGCTCTATGTTCAGTGTGGGGCTTAAACTCCCAGCCCCAAGGTCAAGTGTCACATGCTGCACTGACTGACACAGCCAATTGCCTTATGAGGATTAGGTGAAGAATTATTTAGATGTTTTAGTATCAGGATTAGTAAATACTCAATAAGTATGAGCAATTATTCATCATAAGTAGCTAATTCTTTATTAAAATAATTAATAGTCTCAACATATTTCAACACAAGTTAAAACTGCAAAGGTACTTTGAGGATGCCTCTGCATTCTCAGAAAATACAATGTGATTCTTCCTGTTACACAGGTTTCTGGGTGTAAAAGACTAAATGTTACTCTCACTGTGTCTAGATTTCTCACAGTAACAGTTTTATGTAAACTGTCATATTCCTAGAACAAACTTGAATAACACAATCATACCTTTCAAAATCACTGTAGTACTGATCTCTAGTGAAAAGATAAATCCTCCTAGAAGACAACCTGTCCCATCGTCAGTCTGTTTACTTAAAACAGGTCTTCTGAGTTCTGAAGTCTTCTTGACTGTGTGTAGAAAGACAGACTAAGGAGCATGCACTATTTCTTAGGGCTAAGGACACAATTTCATCTGGATAGAGGGATCAATGTTTGCTCTAAGAGCTCTATTATTATCATTATCATTATTGTTATTTCTGTTTTTTCCCCATAAGTTTGGAAGGATAATATTAACAGATTGCATCCCTCACCCAATATATTCCCTCTCAATCTCTTTACTCATTACTCCACCCAAACAAGCAACTGGGCATTCTGTGCTCATTGCTTTAAAGAGAAACATGTGATAGTGAAGAAGACAGAGGGGGAAACAGTCTATTCCTGGTTTTGGAGTTGCAAAAGGCTTGGCTTTACAGGAATAAGAAAGACTCCTGGCATAGCAAGAGATTTGGACAAAATGTCTGTAAGAGCATGTAAGAGCAGCACTTTCCACTGGCAAAAAATAATAATAGTAAAATTGAAATAAACCCATCTCCCATGCTGAAAAATGAGGGGGTTACAGATGCTAGAGAGAGGAAGTAGGAGGGGAAGAAATGGCAGGGCATATTTCCACTATCCCAGAGATGAGAAGTCTTGGAACCATGTTCTCCAGTCACATTCCCTGGGAAGTCAGCAACCTTCCATAGATGGGTTTATGAGATCTGAGAGCAGAGGGAACAGTGTGCCTGGATTCCCAAATACAGCCTCAGGAAGGCAGCAGGCCCTAGAAAGAATATGGATTAATGGTGTGAGTAGTAGATGGGAACTAGACTGACTACCAAATATTTCCTATACCCTAACTTGAAGTGGGAGCAAAACAATATCCCCGTATTCCCATAGAAGAGGAAAAATGGCCTCCATAATTTAAGAGACCTTGCAGAAGAGAACTCTGAGCTAACAAGGCTTGGGAGTACTGAAAACTGAGGTAGGATGTCTACTTCCTCATTGGCTGCCTATGTAGACAGATGACTTTGAGAACCAGAGGTTCCCAACACCAAAACTTGGTGCCATACTAAACATTATCAAGTTTAAATCCAATCCCAAAAGGAAAAACATGAGACACCAGAAACTGACAAAATTATGGCATTGCCAACCCTTCAGAATAGGTGATTCAAAATTGAACTTAAGGTGACTCATAGGAAAAAACTCACACATCTGAGTCTCACATATCTGAGTTCATACCTTTATACGGTCATAGATTGTAGATTATTGAGATCCTAACTAGGACCCAGACAAATTTGATATAATACCCAACCCCTTCATCACAGGTAAGAAATCAGAAAGGACACCAGAATTTGGGGAGAATGTTTCAGGACAATGTCTCTTGAGTCAGGCTCTGACGGCAAAATTGGAACTCCAACAGGCTATTAGGGAGACAAAATGATTCTGCTTCTAGAGGAAGCATTGGTGTTGAGATACTAATGTGCAGGAGAGAGGCCTAACTATGAATCCCTACTCTTCCAGGTCAGAATGGAAAAGCAACTCTCGAGTTCTGCCTGCCTGCTAAAATTTATGACTAAGCATAATTGTAATTTTTCTGAGCTAGGACATTGAACCAATGGAAGACAGCAGCTGCCACCAGGGGACAGCAGAGTCTCTGCCACCAACAGAAATCATCCCACAGAAATAGTGCTTTGAACTCTGTGCTCGAGAGCTCCCCAAATGGTAAGAATCTTCTTCTGGGACCTGGAAGTAATGTGATCAAAAAAGGATATTGATTATTAGTTTACAATAACCCAGGAAGGAGAGAGTTTGTGTGTATTCCTTTCCTGAAGAGTAGTAATACATTAATTTTAACTGTTTTCAGTTGTGAAAAGTGTATTGATCTGATAGAACAAAATCAAATGATACAATGATTTGAACTAACAAAACTGTTGTTCAAATCCTTAGTATTCCCTTCCTCCAAAGAAGAAATTTACATTAATCTAAAAGGACTTCCTTAAAATGGATTTTATGACTATCACAAGTAAAAATAATAATAACTAGAACATATTGGTTATTGATATGTGCCAGACTCTGCTAAGTGCTTTACTTATTTACGTTAGTTAACCCTCAAAATGACTCTGTGTCAGCGGTAACCTTACTATCCTATTTACTTTATCAGACAGGTAAGTGCTGGAGAGGTTAAGAAGGTTGCCTGATCTGGTTCCAAAGCCACTTCCCTATGTACTAGAAAGATAGAACCTGACAATCTGTCTTTAAACGTACAAAGTTTAGATATCATGTCAGAAACATCATGACATATAAAGGATCCTTGAGCTCTTCATGGCATTAATACTGGACTTGTTTTATCCTTACAAAACTTGGCTTTCATCTGGCATCCTAAAATGGATTAGGCTTCTGTGCCTTCTGAAAGATATTCTGTAACTACAGACTGTGAAGTGAGAAAAAAACATTTTTCCACAGAAAATGAAAGCAATAATAAAACTTCCTCTAATCACTTTGCATAGAAGTTAGAGTTGGAGCCAACCTACTGGCATCTCCAAGAATTTCCCTAATTTGAGACAGAAATTGAAGGCAAAAAAAAGCTAATAGAAGATATGCCGGTATAAATCCTGGTGACTGACTGAAGAGTTATGAAGTAGAAGAGTTTATATAGTGAGGGTCTGTCTATTAGGTCCTATTGATTGACAAAGACTTTTGTGACCTATTAAGTAAGCCAATGTAGGGATTTTCATAGGGTTAACTTAACTTTAAAATTTGCATTTTTAAAAGACTACTTCAGCTCTAGCACAGAGAATAAAGTCAAAAGGAGCCATAATGGAAGTCAGGAGGGCAGTGAGCCAGTTACTAG